TACTAACAAGATCGAGGAAGTGTATTACCAATATTTTGTTGGTTTCAGGAAATAAAAAAATATTAGATAATAAAAAAAGAATCTGAAGAATCAACAAGCTAAATATTTATAAATTAAGTATACGTGTATCCATTGCTTGAAATCTCGCTTCATAGTATTAGATAGTATATTGTTAAAAACTCACTTTACCTTATCATCTCTTTACTTCAATTTTAAAGATATGTTACTATTTAAAAATCATCATCGATTACATGTATCAAAATTAAAAATTCATTAAATTTTAAATAGTAGTATTATAATTAATGAATAACACATTATTAATTAAATTAATGTTATATTCACTTACCTGTTCTGTATATTCCATTTTATGTAATAAATATTTAGTTGTAACAATCATCCATCCCTTGTATAGGATGGCCTATGTAACTGGAAATAGTTCAATTTACAAAACCGATTTTAATCGTTTTGAATTCAAAATTTGTAGGTTTCTGGCACTTATAAATGAACATTAAAATTAAACTCTATTCATCTTCCAAAGGAAATGAAATAGGATTGACTTAAAAATTTTGTATAACACTCTAATAAAATGAATAATTCATGTAATTTGTGATGTTGCAATTAATTTTGTAATTAAAAAACAAATAATTATTAGTTAAAATATTTTATTTTAAAATATTTATTTAAAAAGAAAAAATTTAAAGTCCAACATAAGGTGATATTATGGAGTTCGATTTTGAAAAATTCCATCGCCTACATAATAATTACAAATAATCATTGATTGTATATGAATTATATCTTGTAAGGAAACGTATAAAAGCAATAACATATTTCTCTTACAAGCATGTTCCCACAATTATGACTGCATAAAATGAAAAAACTATCAATTATCTTTTGATTCATTTACTACAAGTTACTATCGATACATTACTATTAAATTCTGTTTTGTCTTTTGGATATTTAATTAAGTTTTAATTTTTGTAAACTGAATAACGCTTAACCTCACTAACCTCAACAAATACCTTAAACTATCATCTCAGCAGTCAAAATATTTGTAAATATTTTTGATGTAATTGATACGTGAGTTTAAAAAAATTCGTTTCCATTAATCCATCAAAATTCTGTCGTAACAAATTTTTACCGGTTCTTACAATATCAAGAAAAAATAAGACAAAATTAGAAATAAATATATTTTCCATGTAACATTAATGATTTTTCTGGAAATCTTGCAATAATGTTGCTCTGATCAAGAAGTGGAATTATTAAAGTACATCTAAGAATTCAAAAATTATTAAAAGTATCTGTCGATTTTATCTACTCACAAAAAAAAAAGAAATCAAAGTAACGATTTACTTGTAAATTCCGGCTTCCCGTGAGTTCAACTTGATCAATATAGCTGCCCACCATCAATTATGAGTATCTTTATCAGAGGCTCTGACAATATATCTAACACAGATGTACAAAATTTGATATATATATGTATCTCTACGGGATTGTAAACGAATTAAAAATATTTCGTATTGCACAAGAAAAACTGAATGAAAACGTAGCTTTCCTTCTTTCTGAAAACATAGTTAGAAGCATTGACAATCGATCTCTAATGACAAACAGAGTCATTTATGATGAAAATGTACACATATTAAAAGTGAATGCGATTTCTAAAGATAATTCTGTTGAAAAACATCGAGAAAAATCTAGCGATAATTCTATTGTAATTTACGAAAAAATATTCTTTTGAACGGATCAGTTTATCAAGTGAAATCATTTGTACTATTGAAGTCTTATGTAAACACGACGTAAAATGCGAAAACAACAATGATTATTGCTTCTATTGATAAAATATCAACTAAGCAATTAATACCAAACAACTGTTCAAACAAGTAATGATAATCCTAAAATTCAAAGGACTTCAAAAGCCAAAAGAAACAAACAGAATCTGCACTATATATGGAAACTTATAATCTGTATTAGTCAAAAGCTATGAATGAACAGAAAAATTCCTATTAGACACCAAATTCCTAAAGCGCCTAAATTAAATCTTCCCAAATTCACAATAAAACCATGTTTTTTTCTTAAGAAAAAGCTTCTTAATTAATATTATAAATTCACATGTCAAAGGAATTTCTTAAATTCAACAGATTAAAAATCATAATTTCATATAATTACAAGTAAAATTAATCTACTCTTGAAATATATACATAAATACACAATACCTAACAATGACAAATCATTCATTACAAAGATCACTGTACATTCTATCTTGCTTTAAAATTATCTTGACAATTTTCCCAACATATTTTAATAAAAACATATTAAGTGAAAAATATTGTTATCTTGAAAGAAATGAATCAAAATTCAAAAAAGAAAATCCAGAAACAATCACATTTTAGTTGCTAATAACATTGATGAATATCTAAAGTTCACTAATCTACTAACTTTTGTTTTGTTAATAGAAATTATTCGCTTGCACAATAAACAAAAGTTCATGACCTTAATTTTTGGATTCAAAAACAGCATGGATCAACAAGAATGAATCACATCAAACTAGTTTTATAATTACTTTTAGAACAAATTATTTTTTGATACTGTAGCATATTTTATTTTCTACTATTTTGTATCAATTATATTAAACATATAATAATCTTGAAAAATCAAGAAATGGTTAATGTTCATTATTAAAAACTTCAAGGAAAAAATGAAACAAATTAATAAAATACTCATTAAAAAAATCATTTCCCATCATTTAAATTAAAAAAAATTAGATATGGAGGATAATTATTGATATGCCAAAATTCAATACCTATCCATTATTTGTAATTAACAATATTTTAAATTATTTTAAAAATGTTAAATTTATTTTCTCACTTAAATTTAAAATTCCAAATATGTGAAAAAGAAATTTTATAAAATTTATTGTTTTCAATTTAAAAGAATATTATTTGGATAAAAAAAATATATTAATTACATATTACCATATGATAAATGACGACCTGATGACATTATAATATTGGGTTCTATAATTCAAAGGCACAATTAACTCTTAACAACTGTTTTCAAATGAATAATAATAAGTTTAAAATTTCATTCCTTGAAAACTGAATGAAAACAAACTTCATCTATAAGAAACCTTAACATTTTTTAAAATCTGACACAAAGTTATCTTACATTATGAAACCATTAAGAGATTTAACAAAAAAGGAAATTTCATTTATTTGAAAGAAAAAATATTATAAATCATATGAACTTCTTGAAACCACTCTTGTATCATTAATGTTTCATCTTTATATTACTGTTGACCATTGTTTCATTTAACACTGAGCCATACTACCCGAAGAAAAATATTCTTGTTACACATTTAGAAGTTTTACTGATGCTAAAAAGAATGTTTTGTATCAAAGTTGCTTACTAATATTAAAGAATACTTCAAATTAATATAATATAAAGCTTATTTTTCAAAGCAAATTACGAAAATTATTTATTTTACTTAAATTCTAATTTTTAATTTTTTAAGTCAAATCCCATTTCATTATTTGTAGAAAATGAATGGAGATTTGGCATAGTGCATTTAAAGACCCGTGCAACCTATAAAATTTGAAATTAAAACAATTAAAATTGATTGTATTATTTTTAACTATTTTCAGTTGTACAAAGTATGTATCATATATTAAACATTATATCATGTGTTATATATACAACACATTATGTATGAATAAGTATATATAATGGTATATATTATATATAGCTATACATTATACATTATACATACATGTTATATTTTATATTATAGGTAAAATTATAAAAATAATAAATATTATTAACATCAAAGTTACAGAATTGTAAGTTAATGAAACAATGTTAAAACTTTAATATTCAAAATTATGAAACAGTTAACAATTTATTAAATTTTTTCATAGGGTAATTAAAAATTATATGTAATATGAAAAAAAATTTAGAATAAATACAAGTATATTATTATAAAATGCAAAAATTTGTATACTACTGCATCAGAAAAAAAAATTGAGGTATTAATAACGCTATTCCATTTATTTTATGAAAGTTTCTAATAAACCACTAATTAAATTATAAAAATGTTTTTACAGTTTTAAAACAAATAATTTGTAACAATTTATTTGAACCAATTTATATAATAAAAGAGATACTTAGTATCAAATATATATTACATAATGATTGTTTCATAATGTATGTAGCATTTATTATATTATTTGTAATATGATTTTTAATACATAATATAGTGTAAATGTATTTCTGAGAGTGAATATTTAATAAGAAATTATTAATAAAAATTACTAATTTTCATATATTTCAATATATCTTCAACATATCTAAAAGGCATTGACTTTCGTGACAACGACATTGCAAATTATAGAATACATTTGAGAAGTATAAAAGTAATAACAACTTTTACTTATAAATATGACTGATAATATTATTATAAATTTATGAAAAATATATGAACTTGCAATTTTAATTTTATTTAACTGTCCTGATAAAATTTTTAAAATACCTCAAATGTTGAAAATTACTTAAGTAATATTTTTTTTCCCTATACTTATATACTTCTACAAATTATAAGTAACCATATGTATAAGAATCATATTAATTCATTGTTTGATCTTTAATGGGTTAATAACATTTGAATACAAATGTTTTTCATTATTTGCTAGTGTTTGTTATATATGCTTTATAATTTCATTTTTTGGTATTTACACTTACAAGTATAAATGTTCCTTTACTCGATAAAAGTTATAAACTTAATATCAATTTATTTTATTAACCCAAAATATAATAAAATTAAATTCAAAAATATAACAAAATCTAATAAAACAACCTAAATCCATACGTATTAAGACCTTTAGCACCATAGCCATAAGCAGCAACTGTTAATTTGTTCTCATTCATATAAACTTGAATATGCTACAAAGTTCGATTTGAACTATACAAACTCATAAATAACAAAAATATACATATTAGAATTTACATACCCAAGCATCAGTCAGGTCTACCTTTAATGTAATTTGTTGTTCTGTTTGAGCCCAATACACAAATGGTTTTAAAATATCTGCCATTTTCTCATTTCATATTTTTAAGAACATTAATTTTGTTCTGTTTATTTTTATAAGAGATCAATATAGAAAGTAACTTTTTTTAAGTTAGTAAAAGATGTGTAACCTTATTTTCCACATAATTTTCACTATTATATATGTACATATATATATATATATACCTTTTAACATTATGAATATAATTATTAGTTTTTTTTTATATGAATACAAAATTTGTTATTTCAACAGAATCGTTACAATTCAATATTAAAATTTAACATTACAGTCAATAATATTTAATCTATTTTCTGACTGGGATCACATAATGATACAAGAACTGCATATTTCAACCGCTAACGATTAACTTCATAAGATACCAACATATAATGATATATTATATATGTACATATGCCTTCAGTTGGATTCTTTAAATACACTAATTTAATAATTATTTACATATACAACAAATGGCATTTATTTATTACATTATTTTTTTTCCTATAGGTTTCATTTAAAATTAATATAGATTTTCCTAACCTAGGAAAAAAAGGATGCAAAATTTTTGCACGCTTTAAGTTTAATAAAAATAAGTAAATTGTTTGATTTTAAAAATATTCAAAAAATATAGTATTCTTATAAGTTCTATATATATAAAGTTATTAAAAAGTTACCAAAATAGCAGTGTTTGTTACATTTTACGACTTATTTAATTAAAAAATGTAAATATACTTATAAAATTATTTACAATTATACAATACAAGTCAATCTTATTTCTTATTTTAATAATAATTTATTAACAGTAAAGTCATCATTAAAATTGTAAATTTGTATTTAATAATCAAAATAGCAATACTTTTTAATGTTTATTTTCTACGTTATTTTTTAATATGTTATTCAACATACTATAGCCAAAGAATTACAATATAGTTTAACTTTCGTATTTTTATAAAATTAGTGATGATCAATTTATGAATAATTATTTCAAATATACCACCACTATTTGAACGCTTCTAACAGCGATATATAACTATTTTTTATGAGTATTTTTATTAAATACATACTTTTTTTATAATTATGGACAATTAAATATTCACATTTAAAAATGTAATTCGTAATTACATTGACATACATTCATTAAATAAGTGAAATAAATTAATCAAATTATAATTTTTAATACAATTTTAATTAAATTATATTTAAAGTATTATACATATAAATAAGATCCTAGGTATTACTTTTGTTTTGGTATACTTTTTAGGGCGCTACATGTATATATGCGTGTATTTAATAAAGAGCATATGTAAAAACTTTATCGTTTGCGAACTATGCATGTTTTATTTCATAGAAATTTTTGTTATTATTACTAGAATTAACCCTGTACCCAATTTTTCCTAAATTATTAAATATTACACTAAGGTTATCCCATTGATTCTGATTTTCGTATATTTAAGAAATAAAAAGTCCTGCACAAATTCATAGAAATTTTTCTAATTATATAGAGTTTATCGCTACAAGATACGAATATTTTAAAAGAAATGAAATAATTTCATATTTACAATCATTTAATTATTAAATTTGGGGGATGTTATATTTAAAAAGAAATTTACTTAAAGAAATTTTCTAGAAATTATGTTTATTTGAGTAATGTATGTATCACAAAAATTTATATAATATGAATGTCTTATAAATATGCACATGCAAGTTTTCTTTTTTTTAAATTTATTATACAAATATCATTTCCCTAATTAAAAGTAAATTATATATATAAAATAATTGATTTTCCCCCAAAATTCTATGTATACAATCATTACTTACATATAATATATTTTGATAATTTTTACAAATTGAATGTAGTCTATATAATAAGTAAGTTTTTTTATTTTTATAAAAACTAAATTTATATTTTTTTCATTTTTTTATTTCTTTTTTCTATTACATCTTTACATCTTTATTTTATCAATATGAATATAACATTCCTAACATACTAGTAAATAGACTCTTTATTGTAATTATCTAAAATATTTGATTAGATTAAGATACACTAATTATTAATACTCATGTTTATAACATAACGTAACATATTCATATTTCATTTGATATGTTTATTGATGTATAACAAGTTATCTGAATACTTCAACATATATAAGTAATTTAAAATACAAAACATGATTTTATAGATCGTAGATAACAATAGTAAGCAATTTGTTTCGGTTAATAATACGTATTAAACTAATGTATATATTAATATTTTTTGATAATAAACAATTTCTTTTTAGCATAACAATACTTGATAACAATACTTCCAATACACGATAATACACGATTTCCTTCTTTTAAGAGAATTAGTTAATTAAACTTTGTTAACTGAAATTATATAGTTTGTTTATATTACTTGTGTATGTTTGTTTTAGAAATTATTTATGTAAACAAATGATCGATATTTGATTATATATTCATTTTATTGTAAATGAATAATCATATGAAATAAAATGTATTAATGCATGTGAATGCGTATATTTCAAATATATACGTTTGAATCACATCTAACTTGTATTAGATCTATGATATAACTTATTAAATTTACCATAGCTGCTATAAAAGTCACTAGATTTAGTAATATTAATCCTTGTACTATATATTTGTTACTTTAATTCCTTTTTTCAAATATTATAAACTTTGTAGTCATATATTATATTTTTTATTTTATTGAGATAAGATACAAAAATGTAAGATAAGAAACGTACATTGTACATCAAAATTATTTGGGTTTTAATTAAAATTTATATATTGATACTTGATAGAATGCTGATTGGTTAATATCTTTATTGTTAACAAATAATAATTCTGAGTGATATTACTGTCATATACAAAATGTTCAATATAAGGTTATATAGGGGAATTTATTTTAACTGATGTTAGCTGAAGGAAATGTATATCTTTTATACCTAAAAAATGTAATGATTGGGCATTTTTATTCATGTAACTTGCGCGTGTTTAATCTTACGTGGTACATACAAAAAGTGTTGGGGATTATATATACGAATGTACGTGCTACTGTCGAGTTGACAGTATAATTAATTAAGTTGAGTAAAAGCGTTGATATTTTTAAGTGCACATGCTAGTTATCGATCGTTTGAGATATTACAAAGCAATTTATTTTTTACTCAAATGTATGTTTTATGATGATTTGAGAAAGACATTTTCAATTGAATCTGCGCTTAGCCACATTCGTATTTTAAGGTTAAAAGGTAATCCAATTATATTTTATATCATCAGATTATATTATATTGTATTGTATTCGATTTTTCATTGGAATATGTTATATTACTTTGAAAATATATTTTATTGAAGTGTGTTGTTTTTATATACATATTTAAAAAAAAATATGAAAGTAAGAAATAAATTTCCAACATTCAAATATGTTTTCATGACTTAGTTTCACGTGCGATTTATAGATAATGGTATAAATTTGGGAGATTTTAAATAACATTATACTCTATTATGAATATTATTTAAGTAAAATATCTATGATTAATGAGAATTGTTAAATAGATTCTTCTTCAAGTGATTTTAGAAAATTGTTAAAGCAAAATTTTCAACATAAAATGTATAAGATCAAAGACTGAAGATTAAATTAGATTGTAAGTATGTTTAGAAAAGATTTTAGATTGTAAATGTATTTTAAAAAAATGAATTGTTCTAAGTATAAATAATTGTTAAAAAAATCAAAATTATTTTTCACATTTAAAATAGATATTTATATAAATTTTAAAAATTAATTTATTGAAAATGGTTACTTTTTTTTAATTGGTAACAATAATGTTAGAGATTTATATTTTGAAAGTCTATTATCAAAAGGTATGATAATATTTTGATGACTGGTACCTGAGTTTTAAAGTTTTTTTATGTGAAATTAAATTAAATTTATATGTATATTAGTTATTTTAAATTTAATGGTATAACTTCAAAATATTTCGTACATGATTTTTTGCATGAAAATTTATAAGAATAATTTTATATATAATCGTTTATAATTTTTATTTATTTCTAGGTGTAAAAACAACATAATATATCTATATAAATATCTTAGTATATAATTTATTTCATAAGTATATTTCATGTCATTTAATATTTGTAACTTATAAATACAAGTCTACATTATGAAATATAATGTTGATTTGCTTTAATACTATATTTATACATCTTATTTTGAGTATTATGCTATGATATGTGGGCTTTTATGCTACACACTTAAACCATTTAAAATCCATCTCTATAAATTATCATAAATATTTATTTGTATTAATATGTAGATTATATGAAAATTGAATATATTATAAATAGTCATTTGTACACAAATTACTTGTTAAATACATGCAATATTAAATAATTCACATTGTTATACAAATAATAAGATTAAAGATAATTACATGTATTAAATGTATTCATATCCATATCTATATTATACACTATTAATTTTTATAAGGTTTTAGATATATGTAATGTGTATCAATAAATATCTAATGTTTAATTTTTTTAATTAATTTAATTATTAATTCATAATTTTATAAATTCTTTTATTATATAACATGATATGACATGAATTACAATGTTTCTTATGTACATTTGTTTCATTTAAATTCTTTGAAAATTAGTGTTCACAATTTATATTGTGCAAGATATTAGTAACAAATATTTAAAAAAAATTCTTAGAATACTTTTATTCCTTTATAATTATAACAATATTAGTAATTAGTTAATGATACAAATTCACTAATGCAGCTTGACGATGACATGAAGGAAAGTAGTTTGAGAAATGAGCACTACTGCCAATGTAGCTGTTTCTGGTATTATACATAATTTTGAAGACATTGTCTTTTACATACAAAAGCTCAATGACTACACTGACATCAATCTTACAAATTGTCACATACAATTTAATGGCAGTTTAATGGCTTAAAGCATCATCTACTCATTTCAGGAAACTGCTCACATGTGGTATAGAATATTATATAAAAAATTTAAATTACATTTAATTGTGTGTAATCATTAATTTGAAAATTTATTAATCTAATACCAGTCACATTAACATTTTAAAATATAATAAATATTTTGAAAAATTAATACAAATTATAATAAGTGTAACAAGTAAATAACTGTACACTAACCAGTTAATAATGAGAAATAAAAATGCAGCCTGAAGATAGTGTTAAAGGTCAATTTTAATGTTATATAATATCTCTATTAATAAAGCAAAAGTTAAAGTCTGTATATTTAAAACTTTATATAGAATTGAAAAGTAATTAATATTTTTCAAATTTTTATTTATATTTTAATCACTTAACAGTATATTTTTTCTTAATAAGGATATGTATTTTATATGTGATTATATCATTTTATATTTATAATCTTTGCAAATTTTTGCATAGATTATATTTTATATTGCACATGAAGCTCATAGTCATAATGATAATATAATCATAATGATAACATAACAGTGACCATTGATTATTATTTTGTATATTATTTTTATTCAGTTGCAATATATTGATTATAATGTATGTTCATTTCTATCTTTATTAAATTTCTAATAATTTCATTAATATTTAACAAAAATATTAATATAAAGTAATATAATAATCCAACATATATTAAACTATAATAATAGTCATCAATTTTATTTAATTTACATTTTTGTAATTTTCTTGTTGTAATTAAAATAATTTATTATGAGTCAATATTATAATAATCCATTTTTAACATTAATAAATTTTGTACTAATTTAAATTTATTAAAATTTATCAAATTTGTAAATGTTTATTAATATTTATTAATAAAAATTGTAATATTCTATATAATGTGGCTCGAATACTTGTTTAGTTTTAATATCTTTCATGTTTTCTAGTTTTTTATTTATTGAATAAATAAAAATTCAACAAATTTTTTTCAGAATAATCAGTTAGAAGGTATCATGTTGGAACATACCACTGCCATTCGACGTGTGAAGGATTCAACACCTGTTAATGGTGCTCAACAAAGTATAGATGAGAATAGATCATCATCTGCACTACTTTCAGAAGATTTAAATAATTTAAATAGTGAATTATATATAGATTCAGACCATTTAACACTATGGCAGCATCCAATTACTACATTGAGTTATTTTTTTCGAGAACTTTTTAATAACATATTTAGCTTAGGACAAAAGACATTGCATTACAAAAAAACAGTATGGAGCATAGTATCAATAGTTATATTATTTCTGGTATTGAGTAGAATTTCAGGTCCACAGCAACAGGTAAATTTTCAGAAGTACTAAAAGATTGCAAAAGTACTTATATTCTTATCTTATCTTTATAATTTACTCATTTATATATCTGATTTCTTATTTTGTTTTATATATCTCTTTTCAGTAAATATTTTGGATCTAGGAATATAATTTTATGTTTATATAGTCCAATTATACATATATTTGAAAATTATTAATATATTGGTATATTAGTACATATGATAATATATAAATAATATTGGTAAATTTAAACTTACTAATATTTACTTATTATGTAAAATTGAATTAAAGAGTATAAATTAGAGATAAAATTGACATATATAAAATAAAATATCAAATATTGTTACAACAAAATTTTACATAATGTATATGTAGTTGATTATACTTGTAGTAATATTTAAAGTTTGTCTCTGAAGATATCAAAATATTTTTGTATTTTCAGATATTGAAAGCATGGGAGACAAAAATAATTTGGTGGTTATATTGGATAGGTTTAGGTGTTCTTTCCAGTGTAGGGCTTGGTACAGGCTTACACACTTTTGTACTTTATTTAGGACCACATATAGCAGCTGTCACTATGGCTGCATATGAATGTGGTGGTCTTAATTTCCCTGAACCACCATATCCTGATCAAATAATATGTCCAACAACAATTGATCCAATGTGGACAGCAGGAGGTGAATTACCACCATATTTTATGGCTAGAGCTGCTCGAACCAGCAAACAAATTAATAAAACTGAAGAATTTGATCAAGAAGATTTAAAAGAATTAGAAGCTTTAGAAGCATTAGAAAATGGAGAAAATGTTTCATTATTAATTCGATTAAAGATAACAATGAAACACTTTGTACAAAAAGCAGGTTTCTGGGGAATTCTTGCCTGTGCTTCAGTGAGTAAATTATTTTCTAGAATATTAATTTTATTTTTATGTATTTTATATTGACTATACCTTTGAAAAATATTTTTACATAAACTTTGAATTGGTTAATTAAAAATATGTACATACTTTATGAAAAGTTATAATTTATTTTTAATATAAAAATCTTTTCTAGATTCCCAATCCATTATTTGATCTTGCTGGTTTGACATGTGGTCATTATTTAATTCCTTTTTGGACATTCTTTGGGGCTACACTAATAGGAAAAGCAATTATAAAAATGCACATTCAACAACTTGCAGTAATTATAGCTTTCAATGAAGAACTTCTAGATAAATTTATAAAACTATTAACAATTGTACCATTCATTGGTTCGAAATTTCAAGGGCCATTGAAAAAATATCTTATTGAACAAAAACAAAAATTGCACGACAAAACATCTATGGTACAATTTCCTTTATTTATTATATGTAATGTATATACTTAGTAATTAGTACTAGTAGGTTATAAATTTTTGTTTTATTTCTAGGATGGAACAACAACAATTTCATGGTTGTTTGATAAATTTGTAATATTGATGGTATGTTACTTTTTAGTAACAATTATTCATGCATTAGCAAGAAATTATCACCGTAAACGAACTAAACAATGTACTAATTAAAATTCAATGAATATAGGATATACAATGTAAACATAAAATCAATTATAAAATTACGTACAGACGAAGTTGCTATTACAATGCAGTATATTTAAGGTACTAATAATAATCACAATAACAATAATAATACTAATATTAATAATAATAATTATAACAACAACAACAACAGTAAAAATAATATTGTTGTCGAACTTTTAAGTGCACAATTTCACTTTTGCATTACAAATAAATCGTAAAGGATGAAGTATAAAAAATTAAAATTTTTTTTTTAATTATAACTTTTTAGAATGCTTTAGAAAAGTTGGAATATCTCTGCAATAATATATATACATATATATGTGTATATATTTGAAAATGTACATACACATATGTTAAAAAAGATTTTTATTCATTGTGTAACATAATATGATCATTTTGCTTTCACGTAATATTATTAAGATCATAATTTATAATTTCAGAATTGTTTGTAGAATTTACAATGTTAATAATGTCAATGATTTTAATTGTAATATGTTTGGAAATGATACAAACTTGTTTGACATGTGCATTCTTTTTATAAAATGCTAAACATAATTGTTTTAGATATTCATAGTGGTTATTACACTTGATAATGTAATAGTGTAATAGTGGTATTATATTCACTTGATGTCATTATCTGCACCCTTTGATGTGCATATAAAAAACAGAAAAATATTTTCATAATTTGATATATAAATGGCATAAATTATATTTGAGTATTGATTAAAATAATTTATTTATTTAGTTGTTTTTTTTATTTTTCAAGATATAACAAGTTAATTTTATGATTAGCTTCTAAAATATGAAATTAGGGATATAAATGTAGTCCATTATATCATATTATGTGATATTAATCTCGAAATTTATTTATGGGACAAATTAAAAACGTTCATTTACATTTGTTTTGCTTTTGAATAAATGTTAAAGTGATTTTTCGTGGTTTCATAGAAATTATTCAGTTTTTATAATAGATAAATTATTATGTACAATAACGATGTTTTTTTGCTACACATTCTCACTGTTTACAACACTTTCTCTTTTCATTGTACTGCATTTATATTTGAGAAATGGATGTAATATTATTTGTAATTTATGACTATTCTGAAGGTGACAAAAATATAAATTAAAGGTAAAATATTTATAGATGTATATTTAAATATTTTTATTATTTTATAAGAGTTCAAATTGCTGTTAAAAAAAAACATTCCGGGTTTATATGATCGTATCTTCCGGTAGGTAAATATTAATATAGAATAATTTATTTCAACATCTCCTACAATATTTGATTAATGTATGCTTGTTGTATTTTACTAGAACTTAACTTTAATATTGTAGATAATTTTATCAATACAAGTTGTTTCAAAATATTTTGATGGGAGGCACAAGTACAAATATTTATTTTAAATAATTGTTACTTTTCCATCAACGTGATAAAATGAATACTTAATTTTATAAGAATTATACCTTTATAAATAATGGATGTAGAGACATACATATTTATTGTGTATATGTTAACAATAGTTTATGATTTATATTATTACTATAAGATGACTATAAATAATAACCAACAATATTTCCTTATAAATAGAACATTATAGATACAAAAATATTTTAACAAATATTAAAATATGTTTGTAAATAAATGAATGTATAAAGACTAACAAAGAACAAGTAATAATATAACAAATCTTTATTGGTAATGTGTTATGTAATAACTAATATTTATGTGAAAACATGAAAAATCATCTTATCTTAAGTGAAATTGTTCGTTACTACTAAAAATAATTGATAGCCCTATAATTTTATTATGTGAATTATATAAATATTTACTTTCTTGCATGTAAAGAAGTACTATAGTAAAAAATAAAAAGAAATTGATTTAAATTAAATAATACAAGCAATATATTGCTGTACATTAAAATGTATTTAAAATCCATTGATTATTTTATTACAGTAAATATTAAGATATAAAAGGTAAGATCATTTCATGGAGTATATATCTGTGTGATAAATATGATTACAGAAAATAAATGCTGGAAATCATATATAAGAATATAACTATTAATCGAAATTATAAATTGAAATATAACAATATATTATAGTCCTCATATATAATAGCGAGTATAGTGTAAATACACAATTATAAGTTGATGCTAATACTGATGTTAATACTGTTTAATATTTTACATTGATGATTAATATTGCTATATTTTACACTAAGTTGGTATGTGAATATTTGAAATTATTAATTGAATATTTTATATAAAATGTAAAACATTTTATTTTTGTTACTGGTAACAGTATATAACAGTATATCTAATGAAAACAAATAAGTGATTACAGTTTTGTGATATGTTTATAGTTTTGTTTATATTTCTGATATAATACTGCACCATACTTGTCCAAAAATCATAGTTCAAAGATCATGAATATCAAATGACAGGCTTTCATATTTTGTCAATCTACTCTTTATTATCATTCATGAACTATTTATTAGCTTTAATTACTATAATTGCTGATAATTTGTTTTTTAAAATGTTAGTACATTGACTTTTAATTTTCATTAAAAGATTAATTTACAAGTTCAATATATGTTCTAATCACTTTCATAGTTTATTATTTGTTTAACATCAGATAGGTGACATAGTTTTTCTATATATGTAGTTCCAATAATAAAAATTTTTTGGCTTTTAAGTATTATTTTTATCTTATCTATTTATTTTAGTTTTATCAAAAATATTACACTTTAATTTCATAACAAAATTCATTGTTAATCATTAGAGGTACATTTTTTATACATAATATTGGATTTTAGATAATATATATGTGTGAATTAGATTGCAAAATTTGTCTGTGTCAATTATTGTCAATATTTTACGATTACACCATGTACACAGTTTTAATGTAATGATTATGTTTTTCAAATAGAAATTTACTACATTGAAATTTATTACAATGTCTCACTTTCGACTTAGAATATACATTTACAGATAAAATTAAAATATAAAGTTAAAATTAAACGCTAGTTATTTAAAAATATTAGTTCATAAATATGTATAAAATTACGTTGTATGCTGAGATATACCAAAACTGTAATTTATACAATATATATATGTTTATATATTGTTCACTTTCTAAATAAATATTTGCAAAAGCAATATTTATAATAAAATATCAGATAAAGTTTTAAATACTTGAATAAAAAATGGAAAAACATCGTGATATTTTGCGATACCTAGCAAATTTATACAATGCTATTTAATAAAGAGAAAAAGAATTATAGCGTGGTCATTTCAATTATAATGATGATAATGATTTGATAAGTATTTTTCTAAATTAAGCTTTTTTATGTAATAAAATTTTGATATGATCAGATGATGAAGCTAAACTTCTAATTTGAACCTTATTGAATGTTTGTGAAATTAAGTTGAGCAAGTTTAAGCAATTGGAACCTCAGTTGAAAATAATTTTCTTATGCTGTTTTTCAATAATACTAATCTATTTTGTAAGATGTATAATTGATAACTTTGAAAATATTAGCTTAAAGATTTCATTTAGAATTATTACAAGATTTAATTTAAATCTAAATATATATTTCTTACCAATGAAAGTTTAAAAGTTATTTAAATGAGAATTGTTTTACTAGCATAAAAAGGATCTTTCTTATATTATTTCTCTTTAGAATCTTTGTATTGCTATTTTGTTATAGAAACTTAATATATTCTGTTAAGAGTTTAATATCAAGATTTATTTTATGACTATGGTTTCTGTTTTTTATCTTGATATTTGGTCTGTAGATTCTTCTGGTGTCAATAAAGAATCTTTGTTGGAAATAAATACTCAGTTTTTAAATTTCTGCATAATAAATGTTGCAAATACAATTTGGCAATAGCTTTTTTACAAGTTTTTCTAAGACATTGAATCAAAAGTCATTAAAAGAATCACGGTGCACAAATAATTTTGTATTGAAATGTTTGTAGATTAACAATTGTATATTTCTTGTTTAGGAAGTAATCAATGAGCTCAGTTTTTAGTATTTAAAATGACATTTTTTATTAAGGAACTACATTTAACCCTCATTTATTCTATGTTCCTATGTGGTTTAATGATTTAAATGTTCAATTATCTATATTGCACAATGAAAAGTTACGTTTATAATAATTAGCTTAATGCTCTAATTTTATTAGTATTTGCCTTAAGGCTTTCCATTATCTCAACTAATATTAGGCTATGATGAGTTTTGCCTTTGTGTTAGTCAAAATGTAATAATAATGTATAACATATTGCTTCTGATTCAAATATGGATTGTCATGTATAAATAGACGATCTTTCTTATTTGTTATTGAACTTATTATTGCTACCATGGAAGGTTTACATTTTTTTGTCATAATTATGGGATATTAGTTCATGAAACAGTCAAAAACATAAATTTTGCACAAAGCTGCCATACTTTTTGCCCTGACACTGTATTACATTGTATTTCATTTCATTTTGATTTGGGGGTTTATTTATAGTTATCGTAGATTTATATTTGACCTAGAAATTTTAAATCTTATATTATAATAAAGTGGCAAACATGATCACTGGTATTATATTCGTGACATTTTTATTGTCAGGGTATCGAAAATGGAGAAGTTTTATTTTTACAGTAATATTGCATGGTACATACACTGAAATAGTAATTCAAAAGGGATTTTAAGTACTTTTTACATCATATATTATGTTATTATTGTTTTAAAATAAAAAAGAAAAAAAAATATTGAATTTGCAGCAAAATTTATTGCTATTTGAAATCATTGAAAGAAAAAAGATTTAGTTAAGATGATGGTATGTATTTTTCTTTTGAATAATTTTAATTTGTAAAAAAAAGTTACAAAAAATCAAAAAGTTAAATAGATTTTTCAATGTCAACCAAGTTGAAAAAAGATCATTTTGGTTTTAGATTCTACAATTTATACAAATAATGTAATATATGATTGTTTATT